CTTACGTGTTACAGACAAGCCTAGTGTTGCCTTCAAATTCACTTTACAGTATATTCTGTGACGTGCTTTGAGACGTTTCAAAGATGTGACAAGGCACTGTATCAAATGCAAGGATTATTATTACTATTATTATTATTATCTAATATTGAAACATGAATATTTTCCTCTTGGGATCACTAGTCATTGAACAGTAGTCAAAACCTAGCTCAGAAGCTCTGAGCCCAAATGCATTGCCCAGCAGATGTTAGACCAGTAATCAAACCTGGAATCTTCCAGGTCATTATGGCCGAGTTTTTCATTTTGTTTGGGTCTGAGACAGGCAGAAACCCGCCATCACGTTTAAGAGTAAACAGACTCGACTGAGAGTTCCACATACGTCATCTGGAAATTTCCCTGTGTCTGGAATGGAATGTGCGCTCTCTTCCTGGAGGGACGCACACTGCTTACCGAATTCCAAAACCTATTTGGCGAAGGTTATCGAGAGCCGAGGCTCGGGGACATCCGGGTGTGAGATGCAGGTATTGTAGCAGTTTAACCACGGAAACCAATACTGGAGATTAACCAGCCGAAACAAACTAAATAAGACAGTGGTTTTATCAGCAGAGCCATTGGGGAGCTAAATGAAAAGCTTTCCAATATCATACTGTACCTCTTTGCACAGTATTTTCTCATACTATCAGATATAACAGTACGAGGAAATCGAAAGAAGTAACTTTTCTGTGACATTTTAAGCTCAGCAACGAAGCATGACCTATTATAACATCATTATCTCTGCAGCCATAGAGAGCTCCCTGCAGCCTGGAATTAGACCAGATTGTTTTCACTGCATTCTGTCTTCCACTTAAATTATCTTTGAATTACACCAGGTCAAAACTTTTGAATGTCAATGTCAATGTCACCAAAAAGTAAGTCTTTTGTTCTGCCATTCGGAGGGAAAATCCCAGTAAACTCTGTTTAGTTGTCTCGGACATTATCCAGGCCTGCAACAAAGTTTAGAGTTAGCATTAATCGAGCTCCAACATAATCGAGTTCCATTGATCAATGATCCAACTGTTGCAATGAATCTAAAGAGCGTGAACTGTAGAGCTGTGTTTAATTTAATGAAATCTATGGTGTTTGGCCACTATGTGCATCAAGTGTTTTCATTCCAGAAAAAGGATCCTTGCCATATTTGGTGATGTGGACATTGGCCAAATAGCTAGATGCTTGCTTCTGCTACACCACACGTACACATATGTTGTAATACCTGACGTTCGGTTGTTTCTAAGATATGGCTTTTCCAAAAAGTGTTCGTTAAATGATAGGGTTTCATTATTTTCTTTGAATTAAAAAAACGCAGCATTTCTAAGGAACGTTATTTACTATTTAACTCCCTTGGCTCGGACGCGCCTGTTTTTTTAACAGCTTTGCACTCCTGGCTTGCATTGGCTTTTGCAATCATCGTGCTTTTAGCAAAACCTGCAAGAATCAATTAGAATCAAAATAGAATTAAAAACACATACGCATGATATGCAATAAATATATGCAAAGTAAGATTTAAAACAAAATTGCTTTTAAAAAGCACTGTCTTGTAATATACACAAGTTTTAAGTATTTCTATCCACATTTTAAGGAATAATACAGAAATCCTGGCACAACGACAGCAATATTGTTCTTATATTATCAGTGGAAACCCTCAAGTATATTGAGGAACATCGCTTGAAGTTAGAGGTTTACATTTCAGTGCAAAATTACCCCAGAAAGTAACAAACATCTGTAGCAAAAAAACAGTGTATGCTCTGAACTTTGACTGCTGACTTTCTGAACGCTACCACTAGGAAAAGGGCTTTGTTATACCTGCAGTAAGGATTTTCAGAACTAATTTAAACAATTTTATGTGATTGATCCTTTGAGGAAGATAATGTATTTGTATGATTTGGCCTTTTAATACAACTACAAATACACGTTTGCCTACAAATGCACAGTCAGTACACAGCAATTTGCTGTGAAATACTTTGAGACGTTCTTGATATAATGGGCGTTATAGCAAATGCAAGGATTGTTATTATTTTAAATATCATATTTCAAATAAATATACTTAAAGCATCGCCTTTCCCTTTTATTTTGGTGGAATTCAGACATACCATTCGTAATTTAGATTTAACTGTTGGACTAACAAAAGTTCAAAACAAAATTCAGTAAATAGGATTAGTATGATCCACTCGCTCCTTCCCCTCCCCCAGTCTGCCTTTATTTGCAGGAAAAGGAGAATGCTGGACATGCGAAAAATGTCTGTGAAGAAAAATCAAATGCAGATGTTCAAATGGGGGGAAAATATTGCAGTGGATATTAAGTGTTGCCAACAGGTTCTACCTTGACTTGAACCCTGTAGCATAAAGTCAAACCATGTGAAATGTATTCACTGATGCACTTCATGATAAATATACGATTATTTACAGAGTAAAATGAAACCATGTTTTTTTTTTGGGGGGGGGTGGGGGTGGGCAATCCACTTTTCAATTACTTTCCCTGTACTTTTTCAGTGGGGCTGTCCCTGTAGTGTTAGGGTTAGCACTCCACAGCTGGGAGGGTGGCCACATCAGCTTCTCTCAAGGACATGAGCTGACTGTTGGAACATGCACAAGAACCACACTGAGTAGTTCGCTTTCCAATTGCCTTCGCGAAAGCAATTGGAAAGCAAACTATTTGTTAACGGAGTGAGAAGTTGCCTGTGTTTGGCGTTTTCCCCGGTGGTCTTCATATCAGCAGAACCGTAAGCTCAAAGCCATGCTTTGCCGTTCTGTGGTGTGACACGTTAAGTACGTGCTACTTGAAATCCATGAAATGTGGAAGCCAATTGCACACAGCGGCCTCCCACAAACACTCGTGGATTAAGTGACCAATTTATTATTATTTTTATTTATTTTAAAGGTGATTATTACCCCCGGAAAAGCAGTCTGCCAATCGCCTAACAACTGGGTTCTAGATTCTGCTAGATAAATAGAGACGTGTGGAGTAAGGAAACTTGTCTAACCTTTTGCCCTGCATTGGTGCATGTAGTCATTTGGAATCCAGAACTGCAGATTAAATGAAATCTTCAAAATTCCTGCCCTGGTCAGGCAATAAAAGTAAATTATCTAACACCCGGACAGAGTATTTCTTCATTACCACTGCCTTGTCTGTAAATAACAGGAGGGACTTGCCAGACATTAGAAGCACTCATTGATGAGACACGAAAGGCTACAAATTCCACATTGTCAGGAATTTGTATTTGTTAAACGGAGTAGACAATCAAAGGATCAGCTGGCAGATAAGGGAGCTTTGCTGCAATCTTTGGAACAACAATAGTTTTCGAAGAATTTTAAAACCACAATCTTTTGAGGCAGGCTTTTATATTAAGATTGCGCTTTAAAAGCTCTCCCAATTACGTGATCCATAGATTGGACTCAGTCCAGATCAAAGGCTAATACATTTGTTCAATAAGTTACCAGAGAAGGCCATCAATGCCAACAGTATAAATGGATTGAAAAGGCAACTAGATGTATTTCTGGAAAAAGAACAGATTGAGGAATATGATGGGAAGGCAGGTAGGTGAGGATGAGAATCAAAAGAGTGATCTAGTTCATAAGAAGTGTGTTTGCCATCTTTGATTCTGTAGATTTTTTTAGCGTAACAGTTTAAACTATTCTAAAATATATTATCATAACAGCACTGCCTTTCCACCAACCTTAATGAATCTAGAACCATAGAATCATGCATTATAATGCAGGTTACGTGCTCATTTATGCACATGAGAAAATAATCTTTTTTTAATATTCTGGGCATCTCACTATGATTTGGAAAGCTTAAGCACGGAAGTCTACAGCGGCAGTAAATGTCCTTTAATGTTTTGCCCTGACAGTGGTTTATTCAGTTCAGAAGTATACTGTGTACCATGGTAAAGGCTTACATGCATAATAGGATTTAATCGGTGGGGTTTTAATAAGGTGAGCTGGAAACGTTACAAGTTGGGGGGCATCGTTTTTTAAATTGTTGAAATGCCTGTATGTCCCTTGAGCTGGTTACATTAAAGATAGCAAGACATAATAGAGACTGGTCTACTTAAGCTGCATGTCAGTGAGAGATAAAAAAAAGAGTCCTGATTTTTCTTTACAAAATGCAAATTGAAATAGTTTATCCACTGGCATAATCCTTTGGCGTGCTTATACTCCCCACATCCTGCCTTTCTATGGAAAAATGTAACTTATAGTCACACAATGTTTCATCATAAAGCATTCCTTTGTCTTTACACTAACTCAACACTGGGTTTAGTTCACATTTAAAAGGCTGCAGGTAAGACACAGTAACAAGAGTAGATCATGCAAGCCATAAGCCAATTTTAAAGATTGAATGGAATCATTGAGTTTATCTCTAGTGTTTTATGTGAGGGATGTTCAAACACAGTAACTACTGTATGATGCACACATTTAGCTATATGGTTATGACAGCTATGTATTTATCATTGTAGAAAAAATATGATTGGAACATTACTGCAAGGTATAAGTGGAATCTGTTTAGTGGTGTCTTTGCGCCATAAAATTATACAGTATCGTGTTCGTGTTTATACCTCAGTACTTTCTCCTGAGGTATCATGATTTTCCTGACAGGCACTGTTCCATCACTTCCATCACTTCTATCAACAGATTTTATAAGCTCGAGCTATATTTTTTACACATTAAGCAGAAATGGCAAGTGTTGTTATGTGGCAAAATGACAGAACAATGCACAGAAGTATGTAAACTGGCAAGTCAAACTGTGTTACAGTCCCTCTATGAGCCACTTGTGATTTGCTGCGTAGTTTGTGGGCGAAACGCGCCAGCCAATTGCGTACAGCAGTGTCCCACAAAACAGTCGTGAATTGTCCTTCCTTGCGTTTGATGAACTGTATTCTGCATATACCATTCACAGCTCTGTTACACCATCGATCATACACTGCATTCAGTTAGTACTCGTTGACTGATCTTAATAATCTCTCCCCGCAGGTTCAGCAAAGAAGCCGAGTGAATTGACTGTAAGGCATACTTAAACGTGCTTTAGTACCTCTGCGTGGAATCAGCACAGCTCTCAATCAACAGTAGTCATTGATGATCTGATTACCTCCTAGTGAGTATAATTATCCTGTTTAAATAGAATTTAATTTCCCCTTCAGCTACTTGCTGAGCTGATGTGCTCACATCTCTATACACTCCATCATCATAATAAGACGTCTATGATTAGTGATTAACGCTAATCTAGTTTCTGCACTAGTTTAATCTGTTATGTGTGAACATGGCTCCTGTTAACATTGTACTTTGCTTTATCTTTAACATTGCGAACATGGTGTTGCCACAAGTCCAGGATTAAAAAGAGAAACAAGACAATGACAATTTGTAGATAGTACAGAAGCCTCAATTAAACTGAAATAATAATAATCCTTGCATTTGATAGAGCACCTTATCACATCGTTGAGACGTCTCGAAGCACTTCACAGGAATATACTGTAAAAGTGGATTGACTGAATATTTTGTGGGCTAAACAGTATATTAGTTTTACACTGTCAAGTTGCTTTCTGTGGTAAAATGGATACACAAACAAAATAAATGGCCTTTTGTCACATATTTATTTATTGTGGGATTTAATTTATTAAAATTGTCTTGTATCACCAAAATCCCTATATACTGATGGGAAATTGCTGTATGCAAATACATCTGGCAACTAAATACACAGTCACTACACTTTATAGTATGTCTCAAAAATGTGATAAAGGCAGTGATTCTTCTTCTTATTATTATAAACTCTTCACTGAAATCAGCCCAGTCACTAGTGTCAGACTTGCTGTAAGAAAAGCTCAAGAAAAGCTATTATTATTATTATTGTTTTTCATTTATGCTTTGAGATGACCTCAGTGACGTCGAGATATCAGACAATAATGGTGAATGAGAGTATGCTTGTCCAACCGAAGGACAGGATATCCTTTGAGATGAGTCAACGCTGACTGTAGTCTGCAATATCTGTTGGAGGGACCTGACTCATCAATCCAGGAGCCTCAAATCCTTGTCAGGTAGAACACTGGAGCGTTTAGGAGAGTCTGGCAAGTCTGTTGAGGGTTTTTGGAGTGCCTGTCTTTGAAGAAGAACCATGAGAGTTCAGGAAATGTAAAGCTCCACTGACTAGAGCCATGTGTGTCAATGGGAGTGCGGAATCCAAAGCAACCACCAATGGAAAAATGGGGAGAATCTGTTTGGCAACTCGGGGAAGAAAGTGCTAGAAATGAGCATGAAACTAAGCTCACAACAACAACAAATAGCATTTGGATAGAGTCCTTCACATCAGGAGGATGTCCCAAAGAGCTGGACAGTCAAGGATGTAATCAGTAACTGGGTTAGCATCCTGGGGACATTTTGAACGGTGATAGCAATAGGGGTGAGGAGTGAAATTGAAAGAATTCCGCTTAGTGTGAATCAAAACAAGCCTTGAACCCAATATAGATGGTTTACTGATCGCTAACTTTGTACAAGAATCCCATCAATCAAGATCCTTTGATCAGATGACTTGCTTTGCAATTTAATAACTTATAAACACGGTCCTCAGAAAAAATGCGAAACATTAGAATAACATCTGGGCTGAAGAGTCCGTAAAGATTGCAACACACTCCAAGGGTGCCAAGGACATTATGAAATATAAAAATAAAACTCTCTAAGATTGTAAGAATTGGTCCAGGCAAATTACTCACAATGGCAAAGGATCTGAATACCAGGATACACGTACCAAAAGCAGAATGTTTTTTGTGATCAGTCGGGTATCTAACGCGTAAGAAAATCCATCGCCATGCTTAAGAGTCTCTGAACTAACCTTCTAAGACTTGTATGTTATGGAGCTTTTTATTTTTTAGTTCACTTTTTCGATTGCTCTGAGTGGTACAACATCCCTGACCTTCAATGCAAATTTCCAAGGCTGAGGTGGGTTGATTTCTGTTAGTTCAGGGTACCAAGGGATACAGGGCAGTGGTGGATAATTGGAGTTGAGGTACATGTCAGCCATTATCTTATAGAATGGTGGAATAGACTCGAGGGGCTGAATGGCCTGCTCCTGTTCCTATGTTTCTAACGTCGTCTGAAATTGGTTACTGGCAGGCTAATGGGGAATGGCCAAGAGTTATTGTCCTCAGGCTGATATTCCAATGCAATGCTGGGGAAGTGCGTTGTATTGTTGAAGGTACCATCCTTTGGCTGAGATCTTCACCTGAAGTCCCATCTGCCTGTTCATGTGGATGTTAAAGATCCCGTGGCACTGTTCAAAAAGAGAAAGGAGTTTCTTCCCAGTATACTGGCCAACCATCCTCCCAAAATAAATAAAATGGTCACACACTTCATGGCTGTTTGAGGGGCATTGCCGTGTGCAAATTGACTGCCGTGTTTGCCCACATAAATACTCGGTCGTTCCATTTTATAGCATATTCTGTGAAGCGCTTTGAGACATCCTTCTGACTTGAAAGGCACTAAACCAAACGATTAGCTTGGTGTGACAATGGCGAATCATCACAGCAGCTTACATCACCATTCCTGCTGTCACATATTGAGTGGTGACAAAAAAAGATGAAAAACCTTCATGGTAAACGTTCATTGCTGTACCAGATAATTGCTCAAATTACTTAATGTCGCCTCAATTTTAATTACACTGACAGATTTTACCCAATGCCTTTTTTTGTCTACACAACATCTGCGTATTTATTGATGTAAGATGCTTGACAACTTAGTATGATAACGATCTCTACAAATAATTAATGCTGCTCATTTTTTACACTCACTCACTTCCTTTTCGAGAAATGTTCTTCATATCTTGATATATCAAGTGCAAGTATTCGTGTATGTAGAAATGAGTGAGGACGGTCACATCATGCAGTAATCCATCATGCAGCAGTAATTGAATGACAAACGTGGATGAGGCTAACGCTTAGTGTATAAATCAGCTGTTACTAAACAATTTGTCTGCTTTTGTCATATGAAAATTGCACACATTTATATAGTGGCTCAATTTGTGAGTTTGCTCTCAGTGTAAAACACATCGCCTGGAGCAAGATTGCAGATCTCGCAGACGTAATGCTTGAGTCGATGCTTTCTTTTCTTGACAGCATGGTTGAATAGCAACACCTGGCCTTTCTGACTTGTGCAAACCTGTGCAGCTATGTAGACGTTCATGCCTCTAATATTTTGCAAATTGATCGTCCATTATTTAAGATGTCCATAAGATAGGCACATTCCTGAGAGTTAAAAGAAATGCTCAGTTATGTAGACTTCAGTCTCTTCAGTCTCTTGGAAATCATATTAGTGTCACCTTCATAATGTGAAAGCTTAGAATGATTCTGAAATCTGGTCAGCAATGCTGACATTAGATCCACTGTTCTGCTGATAGTCCACAATCCTGATGGGACTTTGATAAACTGGTTGACCCTTGCGTAACAGACGGTATGTTTGTTTTCACTCCCTCTGAAAGTGAATCAGGTTAGGCACAATCTCAGTGCTGACTGATGCAATATCCTTTGAAGTCACTATCTGGAGACTCAGTGCCTTGATATCTGTCAAGAACAGCTTTACACTTTGTTAATGGCAACGCATTTTGCTGTGTGCAGTCTTGTTAAACATGGTTTTAGCGTTGCGTGAATTCTGTGCAGATGCGTCAGAAGAGCGGTGTTCACAGAGGATAGGTAGTTTCGATTTAAATCACTTGAAAAAACTAATAATACAAATTGGGTCACTCAATCCACGACTGTTTGTGGGACACTGCTGTGCGCAATTGGTTGCCGCATTTCGCCCAGAAAATATACATTCAATTCACTTTATTATGATCCTGCCCAATGCTGGAACTGAAAGATGAAGTACATCTATAGGTAAATGTTAAGTGTATTCAACCTTTCACATCTGCTTTTCTCCATTTGCAGAGCTCCTTTTCTGAGTCCTTACACACATTCATTTGTTGAAGTATTGAGATGTTCATTGTTGCATCTTTGCTCCACTCAGCACTTCAGCAAATTCATGGAGAAGCTCTTTGAGTGAGATACGTTTCGAAAAAGTTAAGAAGAACAGAGTTGGGAAAGATTCTATGGGTAATTACTTTGCTGTGAAACACCAAGCCTCGTGGGAGACATTGTCCTTTTCACACCAGCTATAGAGAACACCATATGCTACAGCAATGAGACATTTTACAATTCTCACACTAGCCAGCTTTGGTCTTATCTGAATAATACTCTGCTCTCTTTAATTTTAAACGCTTTCTGCTTGTCCAATTTGTGTTCAGATTTCTCCACAGACAATATTAAATAATCTTCAATCCTTGCGTTTGATATAACGTCTTATCGCATCATTGAGATGTCTCAAAGCGTTTCACAGAATAGACTTGTAAGGTTAATTGACTGTACATTCTGTGGGCGAAACGCGGCAGCCAATTGCGCACAGCAGTGTCCCTCCCACAAACAGTAGTGGATTGAGTGACCAAATTATCATTATTATTTATTATATAGATGAGAGTTCCTCTCTAGAGCTCACTCAGGTATAGTGCTGATTTCGGATTACTTTGTGCTTTGAATTTATTTGATTTACGCCATTCAAAATTTAAGCTCTTTTTAAAAAGAAATTTGGAGATTTCAATTGTTTTCTCATGATTAAAATCCTCTAGTAGATATTCCACTAAAGTCGATTCATAATTTAAAGTGATAGGCATTTTGATGAGAATTCTGTGGATAGCTGTTCAATGTAGCTATCAACCACATGTATTGAGGTTGAAAATGCTGTAACAATGTCGTAATTGGTGCATTTGATATAGCACCTTAACACATTATCGAACCGTTTCAAAGTGCTTCACAGGATTTTACATCTATGTATTATAAATACATAGAGACATGCAGTCTCTATGTATTTATAGGCAAACACAGCAGCCAATTTGCACACATTAATGTCTCACAAACTGCCATGAAGTGAATGATTAATTTTATATAAGAGATTTTTGGCCGGGACACCAGGAGAATGGCTAATGTTGCACTTGATGCTACGAAAATACATTACAATTGTTTAAAGGCTGAAAGTCTCTCCATAGAAACCTTAGAGACTAACTCTGCTACATGGACACAA